GTATGGACTATGATTTTATTCTGTCATATTTCGTGGCCAGGTACTGTGAATGCTTTGCATCTGGAGTATATTGCGATGGATGCAACTGTGTGAATTGTCACAATAATGTTGAAAATGAAGCTGCCAGAAGCGAAGCAGTTGAAGCTACACTGGAGCGTAATCCAAATGCCTTCAGGCCAAAAATTGCTAGCAGTCCTCATGGAACTCGGGATATAAGGGTACAAACAAACCTTCAAATAGCATCTTATAATAACTGTATTTTAGATTTTTAAGCATTAAATTGGGTTTATTGCTATTTATGATCCTTTTAATATCCTCTAGGTATGGTTGATTTGCTTGAGGACTTTTCTGTGCTTACTGTCGGTGTCAACATAAACCATTATGCTTCTTATTTTATACTAAATTAGGAAATGTAATATTCATATATTCTCATTTGTATCAATATAATCCCATCAACATAGATTTGGAAGTAGAAGCTTTTAAAGGAGAAACTTGTCAAGGAGAAAGAGCGACTTATTATGCGTTAGAGACACAATATGGAACTAATTATATAAAATTTCATTAGCGTCTAAAGGGACACGTGATAAACCCTCAGTAAAGGAAGCGCTTACGAACTAGTCCAAGAATGTGGCTTGGAGAAACTTCTGCTGGAGAAGAATCTTGACAAAGGAGTTTTAAGTCTGCAACCAGAAATGTGAACATTGATGCTCGCATTATTGGCTTTATATCTTTTGGAGGAGCGATAACAAATTGATCAATGATATTTCTCTCAAGGTTTCATTTGATAGTAATGACACTGAGAGGAATAGAAAATTAACTGAAGAAACTGAAAGGTTGCGAAACATAATGAAGCAATTGACCAAAGCCAGCCAAGAATAGTTTACTACTAATTTTCATATTACTGGAAGAGTCAAGGATTTGGAGACAAGACCATTCAAACAGAGAAAATTGAAGTGCATGACACCATGTCATGGCTCTTTACCGAAGCAGATTAGAAGGGTAGCAATTTTTTTTTGAGTATTTTTCTCCTGATTATTTGATTTTCTCTTCTCTCATCCAACAAGAGAACGAGTTTTCTTCATGTAGGGGAGACTGTTGACAATGCAAGCGTTATTCCTACTTTGCAAGTTATTGGGATTTTATTTTATTTCAGTTTCATTATTTTGTTTCTAGAATGTGTAGTTCTATTAGGGCTAGGCTATTAGTTTTCTTTTATTTTTAGCAAATTGATTTCTTTTCTTGGCCTACGAGGATTAGGGGATTAACTCTACACTTTCCAAGTGATGAAATTCTATTTGAATTGAAAATTAAGTAATTTCTTCTAATAAAGAAAAAGTATACTTTGGTGAAGTAACTGAAGTGACAGAATATTTCACTATATTTGAAGCTTCCATTTTTCAATTTTGTCTGATCCTATGAAAATGTATGCGTTCACATGGAAATTTATGCAGGAGGAGGCTGGGGATTTAATCTTGGGTAAGCATAATAAAGGATGCCACTGCAAGAAATCGGGATGCCTTAAGAAGTACTGTGAGTGCTTCCAAGCAAATATTCTTTGTTCTGATAATTGTAAATGTATGGACTGCAAAAATTATGAAGGAAGTGAAGAGAGGCAGGCTCTATTTCATGGAGATCATGCCAACAACATGGTGTATATTCAGCAAGCGGCGAATGCTGCCATCACAGGTGCTATTGGATCCTCTGGTTATGGATCTCCTCCTATGAACAAGAAAAGAAAAGGTCAGGAGCTCTCCTTTGGAGCAATAGCAAAAGATACCGTCCACGGGGTTGGGCAGTTCCAACAGGTAAATAAAATTCTTGTCCTCTAAAAGTTGAGCATTTCAATGATTATATTCTGTTTGGCCTCCCATCTGTTTCACCTATTCTAGAAGAATCAAGAAGGATGGAGAATGAGCTGGAAGGAAGGAATAACTGCATTCTGTTACAAGGGCAAGTGGGGGAGAGGAGATAAATAAGTTAGGGGAAGGGTTATAAATAGATTTAGACAGGAAAGGCACCAGAGGCAAATATAGTGAAAGTGAGGTTTATGTGTTCATTTACTGTGCTTGTTCTTATGCAATATAATCAAAACTTTCAATAATCTCTCTGTTCTTATTTTCTTCCAGCAGAATCCTATCATATTCCTGCTAACTGTATATGGTTGCCGAGACAAATGAACTTGGACTAGTTAAAAACTTGTACTTGGAATTTGGTAGAGTGGGTTAAATCTTATCTTATTTCAATTATGGCTTCATTAACATTTTGTTTACTCTACTTTCCTTCAAATCGTATTTCTTTTGTATCTTAAAATCTGGAGCCACTGTTTAACAAGTGCTCGAGAGTTATGCCTTGAGGTGCATCTCACATGAGACTTTCATTAAGTGCATCCAGAGCCATTGTTTATCAAGCGCTTGAGGGTTATGCCTTGATTGCCATTTGTCAAGGCTTCTGGCTTGGCTTATCAAGGTGCACCATCAAGGCACTAGCCTTGGGATGGCTGAAGTGCATATGCTTTTGCCTTGTTCCTGGTCTTTTTATTACTGGTCTCAGTTTTTTGAACTGGTTTATTGTAGTCCAAAAAGTTTAAGGATTCTGGGGTATTTTAAAAACAGCCTAAACCTGGAAATTGGAAAAAAAGAATTGGAGAAGAGAGCAAATGAAATGCGACAGGCCACTCTCCCTAGAACTTGCAACTTTTTAGCGGCAAACATACAGAGATAGAGATCTACATAAATTTCTCTCTTTTATTTCTTTTTATATATCTTATTCTCTGTATTTTGTGTTTGGCATTTATAGGAAGAGAGGGGAGAGGATGGGGTGGCGTGGCATGGCATGGCACGGCGTGGGTAAGAGGAAGGGAAGGCAACATTGCGCTATTACAAGTGGAAAATGAGAAAATAGAATGGAAAAATTTATAGCGACGAGAACGATAATAGGGCAATCAAATATGATGATAATTTATGGAAGGCTTTTAGGCTTTCTCTAGTTGTATTTATTGGTATTTGAAAGTTACCAGTTCGACCGTAAAATTACTTAGAGAGGGGTGAATAGATGAATAATGCGGAATTAAAAAAACTATTTAAAAGCAACAATTTACATTTTAATTGTTTTAGATGTTTAGCCAATCAAGTTATCCTATATTGAATGGCCACAATAATAAATAAAGCAGTAAATAATACATGATTTGTTAATGGAGAAAACCCTTAATTGGGTAAAAACTCCGGGACCAAGCCACTAACTTCCATTATAGATAATAGGAACTTACAATATGATCCAATCTAGAAAAACCCACTAGATTCGCTGATCTGATTTCTGTAATCTCGAAGACCCACTAGAACATGCTTCACTTACATCGGCTCCTGATCTTTTAGAATTGTCTCTCATTTGGATCGTCAAGAACACCTTGTTCTTGTACTCTTCCTGTGCTTCTGGTTCAACCTCCCTCGATTTTCAGTAATCTCTAAAGGTTATTGAGAAAAAATATTCCTGATTATATCTAGAAAGTAGGTGTTTTGTATTATATGAATTTGATATTTTTTCTAACTTGTGGTTGATTGATCTCAAGAATCAAAAGTTTAATCTCAATATTTGGATGTGTTCTTGGATCTTGGAATGATGTTACGAGGATGCAATATAAAGATCAACTATAACAAAAAAGTAATGAGTATTGAGTATTTATAATATGCGGTATTTGGGTAGTACAGGATAGATAGAACCCTTGAAAATCGTGAATTAGGGTTTCACATATAACAGCGTTGCTCAAGTGCAAAGCTAGCAACATGTGTGTAGTTCGAGCGAGAGTTGGACGACAAGGATTTTGCTTTCTCTGCTCGAGCATCAGCTAGGCAACAAGCTAGCGTAAATCCGGCCACTATTTCTTCATTTTCCATACTCGAACCCAAATACTCCTAATTCATCTATAAAACACTTCAAAAGACTTCTTGACTTTTATAATAATCATTTTGTCTAAAGAATTGCCAATACAACTGAAAACCTAACATTATTTTTATGTGATATCTAATTTGACGATTTATTATTTGCTACCATATTGATCTAACTTGTGTTTGTTTGCAAATTAGGCTTTTAATTTTGTTAAATTGTTTTGTTATGGTCTTAAACATGGTTTTTGGTTTATTACAAACTTATTTTGTAATTTTTATAGTTTTTAATTGTTTTGTTGGTATGCGTTGAGGCTTACGCCTTGTTTCATGGAGGAACAATCTATAATTAACTTCAATTTCTATGTACGAGAGTATCTAAGAATACTTTTTTTCAATTACAGGCTAACGAAATCAAGCCTTCTGTACCCTCCTCTTCCCCGTCGTCACTTCCTGGTGCTCGTCCTGGTACTGGGTCTGCGTTGGGTCCTTCAAAATTTACTTACAGGTATTTACCTTCTGAAGAATTATTCAGACGTACTTTCAGACAACTTACTAACTATTTCATTATGCCTTAAGGTCTCTCTTAGCTGACATCATCCAGCCGCAGGACTTGAAGGAGCTATGCTCAGTGTTAGTGGTATATTCAGGAGAGACTGCCAAAATGCTTGCAGGTATTTATGGCTATGTAAGGATTCACAAGTTGCTCAGATTAGTAGTTTTCCCTAAGTTCTCTAAACGTCGTGGTTACTGCATCTTTTTAAGAGATTTATACTTCAATTTGTCAACCACAAAAGCTTTCCACGCATAATGTTCACATTTATATAACTAGCTAGAAATGCCATTGTTTAAAATTCCTTCAAGTATTAATAAGAAAGACTGAGAAGTTCAGTAAATTTGCAGTTAGTTTTGTGGAGTTTGATAAATACTTAGTATGTTCATCGCTTATTGTGGCGATTAAATTTGCAGTTGGTTTTGGGAGTTTGTTAAATACATAGTATGTTCATCACTTATTGTGGTGATTAACTTGTAGAATAGCTAGAAAAATTGTTGTAAGTTGTCTTGTAGTCCCTTCAATAGGTTTAAGCAAGCGGAAACCAGACAGGGAATCACCTTTTTAATAGATCGTTGTCTCCACTAAATTAATGTACGGATAGTATTTCAAATTTGTCCATAATAAAGTGAAAACTTCCAATAATGGCAGACCTTAAAGTAAATGATAGTTCAATGACTTCGTGACAATATGTGAAAAAAATTAAGAGGAAATGCCTGAATACAATCCTAGAGTGGTATCAAATGTAATGTCAACTATTCAACTTCCACATCTATTGTTAAATAACTAAGGAACATATCGGACATTTTTAATATGCTTTCTGATCTTATGACCAACAAAATATCACACCCCCATATCCCTTTTTCACTAAACTTCACATAATCTTGTCCAACTTTCAGGTTTCTGTATGGGCAATTAAAAGCATTTTCAACAGTCCGAGTTATGTAGCATCATTCATATAATGTTGATGTTTCCCTCTTTGATAAATGAAACTAATCTGCTATCTTATGGTGATACTTCTAGAGGAAAGAAATACTGCAGAGAAGCCGGCAGAGGATTGCAGCAAATTCTCACTGCCTTCATCAACACAAGATAATTGTCAAAGTCAGAAGGATCATGGGACTATGAAACCTTTGACTGATGATGTCTCAAGTGGAAACCATGCCAAGAAGGCTTGCCCTGACGCATCTGTTTCAGATGAAGTTGATGTATCAAAAAGAAGGCCAATGTCTCCTAGTACATTAGCACTAATGTGTGATGAACAAGATGTGATGTTTACCACCACTACTACTGTTAATGGATTAGTAGATCATAGTACCGTGTCTTCCCAGTTGCCGCAAGGGAAAGGCCTCCCTGAAGCCTATATTGAGCAAGAAAGAATTGTTTTGACAAAATTCCGTGATTGTCTTAATCGGCTCATTACGTCAGGAGAAATAAGAGGTAAGTTCTATCACCTCTCTTGCTTTGCATCTTGTACCTTTATTATTAATTTATAAGCATATTTGTTGCAGTCAAGTTTCATTAATGAAACAATAACTGATACACGAGAAATCATTTCCTCCCTTCACTGTGGATGCCAAGTATAAAGAGGCCATGACCTTTCAGTTTTTTGAGATTTTATTGTAATCTATGTGCATTAATATTTGAACTAAATTCAGCACTCCCAATAAATTCGTAGTTTATTCCACTCCACAAGTTTTGTAAAAAAATTTACCTAGTTTTGTATGTCAATGCAACTCAAAACACTCATAATTATTGGCTTACTAATCTGACTTAAATTATAGGTGCTAATTTATGTCCTTCTATTACTCTGTCAATTACGCTTTTAACCTTGATCTTTGCTGCGCTTTTAACCTTGATCTTTGCTGTCAGACTATAAAAAAAGCTTTGCTACTTTCACCAGGACAAAGCCACTAAAACCCATTGGAGACATTCCAAATTGTCCATAGGCCATCCTAAGTACAATGCACCTTTTTCTTTAACAAGGGAAGCCTAAAATCTTTAAGAATGCTTATATCTACACTTGATAAGGTCACATGTTTTTGCCTACTCCCCTGTCCCCTGTACACCCTCCCCACCTACAAACAAGAAAGTGAAAAATTAGACTCCGCTTGAGTAATATAATAAGATGCAACGTTGCTTATTCCTTTCTAGCATGAAAACTCATAGTGCATGTTTGGTATACAAAATGAGACTGTATAATGAGCAAGATTTAACTTCTTCTTCCATAATACTATCCGGTGATATCCAATCTTCTGTACCAACAAGTTAATAGTGGTGTAGATTTTAGAAGCCAAATCGTAAGAAACATTGTGATTGCTGGACACTGAAAGGGAAACCAAGTTGATCGAGGGGTTGGTCTTGCCTGTGAAGGATCAAGCCATGAATAGAAATCTTCTCCGAACCTCTTTCTGCTGAACTTACGCATTTATTGAGGGAAATATTTAAAAATTAAGATAGATTTATGTGCAAATTGCTTATCATGTTAATCTGTGTAAAACAAGGGATGTGTTCTATCAATTGGAAGATAACAAGTCATTTTGAGTAAGGTTGGTATTTTGGACTGCACAATGATGATGAAATATTTCACATATTTTGCTTCTTTGATTATGTTCATCCCTGTGCAAATTATCTTAATGAGCATGTTAGGTAGAGAGGATTATATAGAACTCACCTGTTGTAACAAAGGAAATGAAGTTTAAATCTTGTTCATTACTGTCCTGACCAGTCCAGTCCACTACTGGGTATGCACTTTATGATGCTTGGTATTTGAATGTTCATGAGGTTCAGTGAGGTCACATGATTTGATTGTTGCTTAAGAATTCAACGTACTTTACCTTTATTTCATAAATTGAGTACTGAATTCTCTATTCTTATACAGAAACGAAATATTCTTTGTTGGCACGACAAGACGAAACAGAAATAACCAGCAATGACACTATAAATGTGAGAAGTGAAAGCAGGACTCAACAGCCTACTAACAATGGTGTTGCAAAAATTACTGCCATGCCACTCATGACATCTCCAATGGCTACTGCAGTATCTCCGTATAATGGCGGTCCCAATTTGATAACATCATCCCCTTCTGAATATGTGGGTGTACATTCACAAACTGAAAAAGAGGCTTAAAGAGTTGGAAGGTCCTAAACATGCTGCTGCATTTCTGTAATATCTTGCCATTATTGATTAGGCTTTTCTTGGGTGCAGTGGTGAAATTACATTCCATTTTTTCATGTTATCAATAAATTAATTTAAAATCATTTTTTTTTCTTTTTCAGCCCTGTGATAGTTCAAGGTAGTTTGTTGAGTCTAGATGACTTGGATTGAGGTCTCCACATGGGCTGATTTTATTGATGCGGCACATCCAAGTCATATTTAATCACTACAATATAAAGGCGGTGTTAAAGTGGGTTGGGTTGGATAGACAGATGGTGACTAGCTCGACATTTGGCACTGGGTTGGAGCTGGCCCACCTTTGAAGGCAAGCTGTGTCTAGCTCGTAGTCTGAGCCAGCAGGGGCAAGAAAAAAAGAGGAAATTACACTAAACCAGGTGTTTAGTTTGAACTTTCTAAAAATCAGGTTTTCCC